TTGGCCATTCAATAATGACACGGATATATTCAGGTCGTGGATTAAGATAGTCAATGAATTTATTAAACTGAATGATCAAATAGAAAATTTCATATGTTAATTCAAGTATATATATATGCCTGCACATGAATTATTGGATGATAAGATTGTAATGTTTGAATAACCGATGTTTCATTAGAATAAATTCTCGAAATAGCTGTTTGGAAAGATACAGAATACGAATCAAATCTATATATATATTATATATGCCACACTGAAAGTAAATAGCATGTTGTATATTTAAATCTTTTAATATCCTCATAAGCATGATTTTATTACTATCACGAATTTTCTACTATCAGTTGAAAGAACGACTGCACGAGATTTCTCATAAGCATGTATTATTTGTAGTTCAACTGTAGTAAGTAAACATAATTCAGTGGGTCCTAAACAAACGTTCTTTTGTAAAACAAGGTCACCCATCTAAACATTATCACCAATATCTCTATACAGAACATAGATATACCAAAGATACTTTTACAAGATTCAACTTAAATACGTACCTAATATCTTGATTCAATGAACATTTAGAAATAATACGAATACTTTTCTCCTCTAAAGCACTCTTTTTAGTTGGATATCGTTCATGAACTTGCACATCTTCAATTTGAGTAGCAGCATTAGCAGCATCGGGTAATTTAGCTACGGTATTAATCACTACACATTGACCTTCCACAAGTGATGTATTAGTCTGAATTAAAAGGGTGTGGGTGAAGAAATATCAGCTCCCACGCCCACACCCACACCCGAAAGATAACTTGGCTCATGTAAGACAGAATAATATTTAATACGCACTAAACAACCTTTACTACTACTACTGGTCTAGATAGAAAAGACAGAATGAATTTTACCTCAAAAGCATAATCATGTGAGCAATTGTTAATGACTTCACAACCATTGTCTGTGTTAGACCAGAAACTTTCTTTGTAATAATCTAACTCGTCGCCTAAAGTAAAAATGAGTCTATTAAATAAAAAATTGCAAGCACACATACTTTTGACGTAATATCATCTGGGCTACTTCCCGTTCCACCAGTTGTCAATATTAAATTCGGTCGTCACTCATCACACAATTTCAACAATGTTTCCTAGAATTAAAAAAAACAGATCAACTTAACATTTAAAAGATAAAAACTACATGCCTTGACATGCGACTGGTCCTGAATGATCTTTTCTTGGATCATCATAACAAGTGGAATTCACTGGAATAAACTAAATTACATCTATAATCAATTATTTGCTTGATTTAAGGAACAAATACGTGAAATAAATTCATTTATCTGACAAAATTACGGAAAAAAATGAAATATTTAACCATAGGAGAAATAAATAAGTTCTTATCAAGCATGTATACATGATCATAGAGTTCTTCTAAACAAAAAGCATAAGAATAAAACATAGTTGATTGTATAACATACGAAATCGATCCTGTAATTTTTGTGTTTTCCTTTTTCAACCTAGTAAATTTGTACCTAATTTGAATATATGTTCTTGTTGCATAGGTTGTAAGTCGTCAACATCACGTTGAAGCTCTTTTTCTTTATTCATATAGTTTGTTTCTTAGGATTCGAATGAATTCATTTGAGAGAAAAAGCAATCACCTGTTCGTTGTTGACCACTTTTAGTTTCTGGTTTCCATTTATATTCAGCTGATGAAGTGCTTCAATTTTCTAAATAGACTCATTTACTACCGTCATTCAAAACAGAGTAATTTTCAACAAGCGATGGGGTATTAACAATAATACCACTGAAATAAAAATCAACAGTCGACGGTGGTGGTCGAGACGCCTTATTTTTATATCTAATAATTAATATTTAATTTTTAGGGTTACTTCGTTGACACGCCGTCTATATTCATTAGTTGCTGTTGAATGTAATTGTTGTTCAAGAAGTAATGTAGATAGAAAAACTTCATGCTGCTCTTTTAAGTTCACTATCCGAACGATTATGACGTTGTACTTCGGCACCGGTTTGTTGAGAAAAAATTCGATCTGATAATGATTGATTACGACCCGTTAAAAGGTTTTGTTCAACCTTTTTGCGTTAATTCAGGTAGTTTCATGTTTTTATTTATCAACTATTTCAAGATTACCTTTAGCATAAATATGATGTCTCGCTTTTAATTCAGCTGACATTAACCGTTCTGGTTTATGGGCATACCGAGATGGATTTATTAGAAAATAAGCCATGATAAATACACCGAGAACAGTAAGAACTTCAAAATCATATTTTGTTTCTCAACGCATAGAATGAGAAATAGCAAGTTCAGCAAGTAACTAAAGCCGTAAGAAATAAAATATCAAGAACACAAGTATCGTATCTTCATAGAATTAAAACCCCATCTATTTTTATCTATATCAATTGATAGAAAAGGATGAGTTCTTCGTCAATTAAATTAATAAGTTATTTCGTTGTTACGGAGGAAAGATGAATCTTATACGCCCTAGCATCGTCACTTGCAATGAATTTACTTCATTTAGTTATTAAAATATTACTCAAAGAAAGAATAGTTGAAGCTTATGAAGAGCAGATTGTGATCGGTACACATCAACTATCACTGGATTGAAAGAAAGACAGTCTCTGTCTGTTGGTTCAGATGCGTAGTATTGTGCATTTACCTATTAAAGTGGAGTCTCTATTATTTGTTGCTTATGACTGAAAGTTTATCAAAAGTAGATAGATCTTTCTTTATTGGTATCGTTTGATTTTAGAAAATACTTCATCATAATTTAATATAAAATATATCTAATATTTCCATTATCTTAAAAGATTTGTTCATCGTCTGGGAAATAAGAATATAATGTTTTCATATTGAAAAAGTATAGAGATGTGTCCACATAGTTTACGATGAGCGGGGGAAAGGGGGTTTCTCCCTTGAAATTTTATTTGCCACTTCGTAGACGATTTTCATTTATTTGTGAACTGAATAAAACATGCCAACGGCAATCATCTATTTTCTTGAGGGTGTGGGTGTTGATGTGAATGTGAGAGCATTTTTGTTCAGCCACTCTCACACACACCCTACAGAAAATTTTAGTATTCTGCTATCCTTTCATGTGTATAAAATACGAAAACAGTTTACATAAGATGAATATTTCAAAAAATGAAAGTAAATCTTTATTCACTGATCGAATTAATAATCCTATTTTTAACGAAATTTAGAGAAAAAAAAGATGTATTCATTCGTCAGTGAACTTTATAAATATGTTGTTTTCCAATTGCTGTTAATAGTGAATCATTTTTTAATAGAAAAAACACTTCAGTTCTTTGATTCACACTCAATCGAACACGTTCAAAGCTGAATGACTTTCTAATTGGTAATGATGAAATGCCGTTTACGAGTACTTTTATTTCAGTACTTTATGAATTAGTTTAAATACAACGACACGAAAGAATGTAAATACATAAATGACAAAGAGATGTATAATTTCAAGAGACATATTCATGGGTAAGAAAAAATAGATCGGATACAACGAGAAAAAATTTCACTATTGCAAAGAAGTAAACGCTTGTAAATGCGCAATATTAAATAGAAGAATTTGATAAATATGATACGCCTCAATAACCGATGAGTAATCTTCTAAAACAAAATGTTTACTTAAATATAGAAGCACTTTACCATGGAAATAGCCAAACAAAAAAACAACAACAATCATCAACACATAACTACGACTTAAGCAAAACAAAAACAAAAAAAAACAAGACATCTGACACAATACAACAAGTTACAAGTGTTTGCTTTTTACAGTTCATTTGAGAAACATCTATTTGAAAACAGCTTAATCAATTGATTTCCATTCGATGAGTGTTACGCACAGTATCTAAAGTTAAAATCGATGAAGAATATCTTTTCTTTTTGACTCATTTCCTATACCTCCTAGCAGTAGGATCTCTTTGGCCATATCAGAACCAAATATTAAATTTCCATGAAATTGATTGCTGTTTCCAGCATGAGTTTTCTATAATAAAAATTATTAAAAAAATATAGATAACACAGACAATCAATAGAAATAATACTTTAATATGATGTAGTACTGCTGACGAGTAACTTGATGTAAATCTTGTACAAAATGGACAATTGTATCTATTGCTTTTACCAAGAATTTCTTTATAAATTGTTGATACAGCTAATAAATTCAAATTCCAAGAAAATAAAGTTTTAAATTCAAATTAACTCACGAAGTTGTTTCAAATTTTTCATATCACTATCGGATAACACTAATCGAGCTTCTTTCGAATGAATTAGCGCATGTTGATTCTAAAAAAAGTCGAAGTGACATATAACTTTTCAAATCAACGATTCAAGGTTGACAATAATCTTCGTTAGTCGCAGTCTCCTTCGCAAGCATATATTTGTCATCTTTCAACTAGCTTTACTAATCTTATACCTGAAACTCTGCATAACTTGATATCAGCAGAAAGGTTCTAAATTTTTGTTGAGATTCTGTCAAAATTATATTTTATGCACTAAGTGAATTTGCAAGATAATTCAAAACGGTCTCCTATTTTTACATGTTCGACATTTCTATTGATGGATGAAACTGCATATATTTCAGATCGGATAGTCTGAAAGTTATTTCTTTTAATCGCCAGTCTATTTCCTGTGATTATCTCTAGCACAACACAAGATGTAACCGCGGAAATCGGCAGACGTGTTCCGCCATGGAATACTAGCTTTGACGTTCCAGTAAAATTCACTTGTTCTGAGAGGTTATAATTGACGAAAAATTTTCTAATTCTTTTTCTAGCTACTCAACCATAATCCAATTCTCACTACTGTTTCATTTGGATATATCCAACAAACTAAATAACTTACAGTATAGAGTAGTGAATTTGATGAAAACGAACAATGCTGACATTTATACGAATTCAATTGTTTTTCTTTATGGCATGATCTATGATGATCATATTCTAAGATATTAATTGATATATGTGGACAATAAGTGCAATAAAAAGTTCGTGGCTTTTGCAATTGTTGTTCAATAAACGATCGTCTTAACATAGTTTGTCTTATTGAAAAATCGGCATTATCTTCATACTAAATTGAAATGAAAAAAAATAGAGTTTACAACAAAAAAAAACTCGTGACATACATGACACGGAGTTATATTATTCGAAGAATTTTTCTTTGGATGACTTTTTGCCATATGTACAACAATCTTTGTTCGACATTGGTGATTGTATCCACAAGATAAACAATAATAAAAAACATTTTTCTGAGTAGATTTCAATCGATGAAGATAAATATGTTGTTGCATATAATTTTTATTTACTGTTCGATACGAACATTTCATACATTCGTATAGAGAAGCAACAAATTTTCCATGAGATTTTCCTTGTTGGGACTAAAAACATTAAATTAGACAAATTTTTCGAGTTTAAGAAAAAGTTTACTTTTTGAATTTTAGAACACATGTGTTTATCTAATTCATGAATTTTATATGAATGAAATGCACAGTCCATGCAAGTAAACATTCGTTTGGGTTTCATCAAAGACAGTTTATTTGGAATTGTTACAATAAGTGGTGGTGGTAGTGGCAACGACTGTGTTGTTGCTGTTGTTGCTACTGGTGGTGGTAGTGTTGTTATGGATATCTCTGTAGGTTTTATTGACTTATAAATATCAGGTCGAAGACGATCATAAATACATTGTTCAAAACCAGTTTTATCTTTTATTTTTTCCCAAATCGATTTTTTAAGATCTTCCCATTTAATTTGATGAAAATCTGTGAAACGAGCTAAAACTTTCTTGGAAACAACAAAACCATATGTTCGTTCATATTCATTAAAGGATTTTTCGGCTTCATCACTAGACATTTCATAATAACCATTTATATTTGGTTCAATTTTATGACGTGCTCGTATATGACGTAAACAATCGGTACGCCAATTCGTACGATAAAAACAATACGGACAACGATAAGGTTTGAATGATGGACGAGAAGATGATTTTGGTGTGCTAGATATTGATTTATCTATTCTATCATCTTCAAATATAATAACGGAATCTTCAGGATGATCATCATCAACAACAATGGGATTTGTATCAGATTTATGCGGTTCAAGCATTAACAATGCAGCAGCTTCATCGTCAGTAACATCGACTGTTCTTGCATCGGCTATACTTATTTTCAAGTCATCATCATCATCATTATCATCATCATCGCCATCGTCATTATCGCCTGCTACTTCATTTTCATGTCTCACTTGATTATTTATACTTGACATCGTTGCCGAAATAAGACTATCGAGATGTGGAACATATTCTAAATAGTGAAAATTTCGATTTTTTGATAATTCATCAGCAGCTGTTTCATGCATTGTTTTATGATGACGTTTAACATCATAACGCCAACGATAGCCACGATAACATAATGAACAATAATATAAACGATTTGGGTTAAAATTTGGATGAGACGAAAATTTCTGATAAACAACATTTGCTGGATTTGTTAAAGATTGTGAATTTGTTTCAGTTTGAATTCCATTTGAATGATTATTATTTGTTTTTATTGTTTTTGTATGATTTGCTTCGATATGTTGTTCAATAAATCGAGGATGATTCGAACGAAATTGACATAACGAACATTGATATTGATGTTTGGAATCATGACGACTATGTAATTTCGTATCAAACGCTCGTTCTCTCATATAGGCATTTATAGTTTGTTCAGCTTCTTCATGAGATAATTGTAAGACTTCAAAATTTTGATTTGGATGACGTTTCTTCGCGTGACACTATTGAAGAATAAAATAGAATGATAGATCCAGATGAGTGTTGATTTCACCAGAGGGATTCTCTGAATGACTTATAACTTAACATTGAAAAAGGTGTAGTCTACTTTGAGATTATACTATTATAGAAATGTATACGCATTAAAATTTATCTTCTTTCGCGGAAACAAGATCATCGTGATCATTTCTTTTATTCTGAATAAGTGACTCGGATTAGAATAAATTTTAGAATCTACTAAATTTTTCATTGGCCATCATTATTTCCGTATTCTATTCATTTATATGAATGCATTTGGCAATATTCTGTATAAATCATGGTATGTCCGGTTTACATGGATCCTCAAAAATATATGTATGCCAAGTACCTGAATATACCAACGAAGATTTGCACGCCAACCACAAATTGAACACATAAATGGTTTAATATTAATATGTGTTGCAATATGAAGTTTAAGTTTAGTTAATGTTGGTGAGCTAAAACAAAAGCACACTTAAAAATTAAGCTCAAAATAATTTTACTGATCTTACGAATGTTCACAATGTGGACACTGAAATTTTTTAAATGATTTTGAAAATGAAATTCTATTTGGTGCCGATTCCGATAGATTATTAATTTCTTGTTGATATTTCCAAAGACTGAAAAAATAGTAAAAAAAATTACATTGTTGTTTTTTTTCCCAATTAAAATCAAGTATATTGTCATACGCGTCATCTTCATCATCGTCAATATCTTCTTCAATCACAATCATTTCATCGTTTCCATTTGGAAGAACTTCACCATATGATTGTACATTATCAATTAATAATGCGGATAAACCATTATCGTTATCAATACTATTATTATTATTATTATTATTATTATGAATGACATCATCTTGAGTAAACGAAGAATAATTTTTATGAAGTTGCATTTCATGTTGTGAAATATGTTTTAACCATGGTGTTGTATATGAACAATATTTACATTGGTATGTTTTAGTGAAATTATCTATTGTTGTTTTTGGTGGAGGTGGTGGAGGTAATGATTTTACTTTGAGTCGTATTTTATAATGTCCAGTTGCTGACGGTGGTAGTGATACATTGGTATCAAGTTTTCCAACATATCGGCCAGCTTGTATATGATTTATCTCATGTTTTCGACGTATATGTGCTGTACAATCATGGAAGTTCTATTTATAGAAGAAGCTAGGAAATTAGTTTCATTTTTTAATTAATATTACTTTATAAGTTAAATGACAAATTCGACATTGAAAATTCTTTTGAATTGGTTGAATTGTTGAAGAAAAATTCGAAGTTGATGGAAGATCTGCGGTAGAAGTAATTGGTTTGATTGGGCTATTTGTAAGTTTTGGTGCTATCGGCCGTTGTGGACTTAGATTTGAATGTGAGAAATTTTCGTCACGAATTACATTAGTCTAAATTTCAAAAAATGAACTAATTCTTTATTGAAATGAAGTAGAAAAAGAGAGATAGGCTACCTCGGCAAATCTTCGATCATTTTTGTCAGTGGTAATAACACGATTCCAAAAATGAATAGAACCTAGATAATATTAGAAGAAGAAAAAAAACAATTTAAGAGCTTATAAATAGTAAAGAAGAGAAACCTGGATCGACATTCGATTGTTTAAATAACGGTAATGATTGCCGCGGTGCTTGAGATATAATCTTCAGGAGAAAGAACGTTTCCTTTAGAGTCAAGAGAATCTTATATTTAAAAGCATACTTGATGACTAAATGCTGGTTTACGTCTCGATCGTTTTTCAGTTGATGATAACAATACATTCTTTGGTGGTGCTTCACTTTTACTAGCAGTTTCTACATATAAATAAAAGAAAAACAAAGCTGCATAAAAAAAAACAATTATTAATAATATTTATAAACAAACCTTCACCGTGCGCTTCATTTAAATGACTAATTAATTCTGGTAAACTTGTCCCATTAAAACTGCATTCAGGACAAATAAATGCTGTACGTTCTGTATCGATACTATTATCGATCATCATTTTCGATGTTTTTTTTTATATTTAATCTGAAATAGAATTTATGAAAATAAAATAAAATAGAATTGACCGTCGACATTATTACTGTAGCCTCCTTCGCTTACTTTCTTCCAATACGAGGATTGTGCGCGTGTGTACTACTGTTGTCTATCATTAGAAGAAGCAGAAGAAAAAGAAGAAGGAGAAGAAAAAGAGAAGAAGGAAAGAAAACAAGAAAGAAGAATAGATCGATGTGCGTCATGTTGGGAGAGACAGACAAAAGAATAAGGCATGCAGTTGGAGATAGATTATGTATTTTGAATCTTTTTTTTTCTGGTACAGATAAAACAAACAAGCATGCATGGACAACATAATGTTATTTTCGCAGATGTATAGTTTTTTTTCAAATGATAAGGAAATATGATATTTATATGTATGTATCTGTTGATGTACATATTGTTCTTACTGTTTCAAGAAAATAACAGGCACATACCTTAACAGTTACCTCTGTCTTTCTTCTTTCTCTTTCCCTTCGTATGCAACATCAAACGAGCATAGTTAAAATGTCTGCCAAGGTTCGCGCGCAATGTGCTCTGGCACGCCCGACAACCCTTGTAGCTCGCTTCGACGGGAAGCAACATTGTCAATTTCTTGCCTGTTCTTCTTTTCTGCTTGTAGGAAAGAAAATGCAAGCAACGGCATATGCACGACTTAACTATACATGCTGCCTGAAGAATGAAAGCAAGTACTCATGCCCGACATCGTATAATGATGATAGTGAGGATGAAAAGGAATCGCACTAGTTGCAGTAGTAGTGGTAGTACTGCTGTCGATGTTAAGAAGAAAAAAAGCGAGTACATGTAATAAGGATGGGCTTGGCCAACTGTTAGTTTCTTTTTACTAGAACATAAAGAGAGCCATATATCATAGACACTACCTATACTACATTCATATTATAAAACGAGACGTAAAGTCAGAAAGAAATACGTAATGCATTCAAAAAAGATGGTGGAAAAAAAAGAACTGTATCCACCAATCGATTACTTTAACTGTACATGAAAAAGGATTAAAAAAGGCAAGAAGAAAAAGACGAAGAACAATAACGATCTACTGCATCACATGTCACCTTTCTATTTTGACCAATCTCTTTCCTCTCCTCTCTCATTCTTTCCTCATTTTCTACGACTTCCTGCGTCCTCATTTCATTAGACCACACGTTCTTTAATGCTGAAGAAGAAAAAATATTCCTATTCCCATCATTGTTGATAGAATGTACTGCATAAATTTTCGTTAAAGTCAAACTTTTTTTTTAATTTTCATTTAGTCTATTTAATAGACTTCGTATTCCAAGTGTAATTTTAATTTGCAACACAAAAGAATTAATTATAAAAATCTCTCAATTGTAAATTTTATTTAATGACAGTAACCTTAATTGATTACCTTTTCAGTCACATATAGTTAGATAATGAAAATAACACAAGCTTACTTGATTCGAATATATGTTTCGTGTGAAAATGTATGCGTCGTTCTTTTTTTTTATTTCGAGCAAATGACGATCGTTACTGTTGTAATCCTTGGTACTGCGGGTTGTTTACTGAATGAATTCTTCTATATTCCCCTACCCTTTCAGTCGTTCGCCCATCTCCTAGATTGCTGTTGCTGCTGTTGCTGCTGCTGCCGCCGCTGCTGTTACTATTCTATACTGGCGCGTATGCCGAGGAAGAGAACACACGTCCGCTCGCTCGCAAGGATAGAAGCGCACAAACACGCACATACTAAAAGCCAATGCATTTGTTTGCCCGTTCATCGTAAAGTATGGACGGACGGAGGAATAGATGGATAGACGAGAGGAGAATATAACCGAACGAAGAATCGAACGACGATTATCATATTCTCCTCAGATGCTTCCCGAAAGCAATGGTCGACAGGCTGACTGAAAGCGTGCGTGCGGCGTCAGCTTTTCTCTCTTTTTTGTCTGTCCGTGTTCTCGACACAGGTAGATGTGAGAACGAGTGGGTGTATTTTGTTGGTGCGAAAGAGAAGAACAGACGAATGAAACAATGGCTGATAGTTAGTCTACTGAGATAAATCGGGAGAACCGATTTCAACCAGTAGGAATACAGACATTTTGCTTAACGATTGCGTGATCAAGTAAGCTGCTGTTGTGCCTTACATGAATGTGTGAAATGCAAAGAATGCCATTTGATAGGGCAACAACTTCAGTGTCACAGAAAAGAGAAAAAAACTAGAAATAAATATTAACCATATATATTGGGTTTGGGATTTTTAATCAAAACAACAGATTTGTATCCTATACTCAATAGAAATCTTTTCTTAGAAAGCATTCTGTTTTATTCTTATCTATGCACACGTACCGATGTATATTTATACTATATATATATATATATGTCACACAGAGCAGATTTTTTTTTATGATACAACTCTACATATTGATCGGTTAGTGCTATCATAAATTTGAAAGTGAAAAAATGGCATTTGAGATATAAAATATATTTTTTAATATATTAAAGGATCATTGATCTGATTGAAAAATATATAAAGCAATTTCTCTTTCTTGTCTTGTAGTTTTCCGGCATTTCTATGGAAAAAATAATTAAAAAACTTGATGCAATCTTTTCCATGTCAAATATAGTACTGCTCTTTTCATAGCAACTACACTTAACTGAGGATTTCTATTTTATTTTCTTAGGATTCACTTGAACGTTTACAGTACTTTTCAAGTGCATAATATAACCATATGGAAGCTAAGCAATCAACAGGTGCAATCCTATACTTACTATCAATACTGACAGTGCGAAAGTTTTGTGAATTTAAATACGCTAGCTGCCTGACAGCGTTTTGATAATTAAAATAGAGAGTGGAATAATTTAGAAAAAGTTGCTTTTGTTCAAATGTAATTGCCTTGTTATTTACGCTAATAAAACTTTCAAACTCCATTCGTTTCCCATCCATATTTTGTATTGATTACTAATTAAAATTGAAAATGGTTTAACGAAAGATATTTTTTACTTGTACGCATTCAAGAATCATGAACTTTATTAATCTTGTATTATTTCAAGTGAAAATCTAATTTTTCTATAAACTTCCAAACCAAAAAAAGAAACGAGATGGAAACTAAAACTACAATAAGAATAAGAATAAATTTTCAAAGAACTGTTTTACGTAGAATAAGTGTAAAAATGGCGAAAACTTCTTTTCATTAATTAAAGCTTTTGGCTTTGAAATAATTTTACCATATTATCGTTGAAATTTTTAAAATATTTATCCGTGTCTTCACGTGATTTCATTTTTCTTCCTTCATCCGAAAATTTATAACCAATTTCTTGTTCACCTTTTTGTAAGCGCTCAAATGTTGCTTGACAATATTCAGCAAGCGGCTCACCAAAAGCATGACTACCACCAAGATTTGTTTGTACAGCAGGCGGTACAATTTCGTAAACTTGAATATTCTTTATTTCGTTCATTAACTGATAACGAAGGCTCATAGTAAATGAATGTAGAGCAGCTTTGGTTGCTGAATAGATTGGTATTGGTGCTAATGGTACAAAAGCTAAACCTGATGATACATTCATAATAGCCGTGGTTGTTTTCATTTGTCGAAAATGTTGTATAAATAAATGAGATAGATGCATCGGTGCACATACATTTATTTGAATTTCTTTTTCTCGCTCTTCCCAGGCTATGTTTTCAGATGGTATTTCATTTGGAATAAATGGAGCGCGCTGTTGAATACCTGCATTATTAATAAGAATATTTGTTTGAGGATATTCATGTGTTATCCATTCATACAGTGCTTGTCTTTCCGCAAGTTTTTCAGTATCATTAACATGAAAAACTACTTTTTTCTTTCCAATACCATTTAATTCTTCAGCAGCTTCTTTTAACAGTTGTTCGCGACGGCCTGTGATTATAACAGCTGCGCCTGCTTGAACAAAACATCGAGCGAGACCTAAACCAATGCCACTAGAACCACCGGTTATCAGAACAGTTGAAGATGGTATATTCAATAGTTCAGAATAGCATTCATCAGCCATTCCTATTGAACTAAACAAAAATGTAGCTATTTGAATATCGGTTAAACAAGAGAAAAAAACAGAACAATATGATACTCTCTGACAGCTACATGTCGAAATTTTATATCACGTGTGATTAACTTTTCTTTTCTTTTTCTGTAATGTTTTTTATAAGCCACTATTTTTTTTTATTCAGTCAAACGTCTATGAAGCGTGTGTCATGCATAGCAAATGTGAGAAGAAAAGGGTGCAAACATTTGTTGCTGAGTGCTAACTTTTACTCGGATATAAACGCACGTTTCTTTTTCGCTGTTCTTAACCTTGAGTGAGATGCACTTTTTTCTAGATTGTCTTTTGTTCTTCGCACTGTGTTCTATTGACAGAAAGACAAATGGTGTTTTGTGTTGCTGTTTATTTAATGATGATCAAACTATTGGACATGAATGAAATGTTCACGAAAGATTTTCCAGCAACACAATTTTGAACAAGAAAAAAAATATTCGAAATCAATACCAAGTGATATTGCGAAAAATAAGTTTTGATTGGAGACGAACCATACCTATGTAGTTGAGAATATTTAATTCATTCAGCAATAATGCTATTAACAGAGCAAGAATCAGCTTTTTTTTTGAAAGCTGTCGCAACACTTTATGCAGCGTAAGTGCTTCATTGATATTTGATAAACTTTGCATACATTATTTGTCGATATTGAAAAGAAGTCTTTCTTACACGAGTCATTCAATAGTACTATTTGAATAAGTAAAACACGATTAGTAGAACAAAACGCATTGAATTTTGCATAAAATAGCGCTATTTATGGTAATGATTTGTATACTCTGAACAGCATGAATATTTAATTTGTTGCATGATGAATTATTTAATACTTAGGTGTATCTGAGGAAAAATAGTCATTGAAGAAAGAAAATCCGCGCTCAAGCAAAAGCTGTTGTTCGTTGATGAATGAGAAATCGGTGATCCAAGTAGTTGAGAGAATGTCATGCAACTATAGTATGGATGAGTAACTAAAAGCCAACAAATAAATTTTATACTCGTGATCGAATTCAACTTATTGACTGCATTGATAGTGCATTTTTCTTTTTTTGAACTTCTAAGATAATTGAATGCATTTTAGGTGATTAATTGAAAATGAAATATGCAGCGGTGAAAACTATTCAATGACAAATATTTTTATAGAAACTCAAAAGAAAGATTTAACTGTGTAAAATTCAATATTTTATTATGAAAATGTGTATACTCGAGGAAATTTGAGAGAAATTGTCGATGTAAAAAAAAGAAACGCAAACTTTTTAAAACGCATCGTATTTCACTAATTTATATTATTATTTAGTAAAGCCCTTGGTCAATACACGTATCAAATGATCTTTTCTTCTTCTTCTTGTTTGAGTCACGAGCCTCTGGAAACAGATGCATTTCTTTTGCATGACAAAGAATAGATTTAAGGACTGATACTGGTTCACAAAGATGTTAAGTTCCTTGTCTTTCTATTTCAAAAGACAAAGATATGCACCTGTACCTGCTCTCTAGATATGTCAATGGAAAAAAAACTGCACAATCTTTTTTAGCATGGATCAAACCAGAAAGAAAATCACTGGTGTAAAATGTTGTATATTCATATTGATTCTAACCAGAGATGATTTTTGTTTTTGTTCTCTATTTACCTCTCAGAATCGTTTAGAACTATTTTCAAAATTCGTTTTAACGTGAGATACGGAGAATAGGTTTGTATTTTTCAATCACCAGAAAGATATATGAAATACTACGAATCTTGTAACAGTAACAAAGTAGGTGCGCGTTGGCTTTTTAGGCATCAGTCAATTTTTATATTACTGTATAATACGCATCTAAGATTTTACAATCTGAATTGACTTCTACTTGAGCCAGCGAGCTCTATTTAAGCTTTTAACTATAGTGTTTCTCTAGTGGCCCGCTCTCCAACAGCAGTAGAAACGAAGACTGAAAATGCCAGTATTGATTAGAAAACTATAAAGTTCAACAAAGATTGGTCTCTCTTGGATACATGATTTGTAACTGTAGAGATCACGAACTTCAATTTTGAAAAAACCGAATGTTCTCATAAAATAGATCCATTTTGACCAAAAATATTAATCTCACATGTTTTTGTTTTTCTTTATCTGATATTTAGTAAGATAACTGTAATTGACTAGCGTAATCTACCAAGAAACATTTCGTGTTCTCGATTCTATATCGAATTGTGATCTAAAAATTTCAGAAAACAGAAGGATCTTTTTAAATTGTTATCAAGATAACCATAGACAACGTGTCCCAGTCTTTTTATAGGCTTAGTCTAAACAAATATTGTGATTTATGAAGAAAATCTTTAATTATAATGCTATAGTATTTAATACGGCACAATACGTTTAGATACTGATATATATTGAAAGTAAACAGTCGTATAAAGACTTTCTATTTATCATTTCAGTTATGATAAATTGTGGTTCATAAATAATTGACCTGCTTTGTTTTTATTTGCGTTCAAAATACTCTCGGAGGCTTTCTCGATACAATCAATAGCTTTTTTCTCTAACGTCATGTCGTTATAACCGCGTTTGTTTTCTCTTATTCTTAGCGAATTTTAATTTTCTTCTTTTCTCTTCGTTTCATTTAAGTTTGCTTTCACTTGTTTTTAGTCTCATTCGTAATATTAATACTACTTACGGTGATTGCAAATAGTTGAGTTCCGGGTGCAAACTTTCGGAAATCGATACAACACAGGAGAAGGCTTATGGGCCGGAAATTAACCCGACAAAATGCATGCTTCCGATAAAAATCAGTTTTTCCACGCTACATTAATTTTAGGACTGCGCCTGTTAGATTCGATGATTCACCAATTTTCTCCCGAACAGTACAAATAAAATTTAGTCATTTCATCAGTTTGCAATCATCGATTTGGATAACGATGAATTTGCTCATGAATTAATTTGTAATACTAAGTTTGCTTTTGATAGCTATGCATTATTTCAATTGTATTTCATTAGTTACATAAGGATTGATGCAGGGTTCGTTCACTAGCATTAAAAAGAATTATTTCAAAGATCTCTTCATAGACTTATGATTTTTACTAAGTGATTCGGGATAAATAATGTCATATTATTTATTGTACTCTAGCTTCCCATAGAATACATGTGGATGAAATCATAATTCTAAACTTAATTCAACGAAGTGCCAGTAATAGCAAGAAGCATGCGTATAAAGATTATTATTACTGAGTCTTATGCAGAATATGCTAGCATAACGAATCATTTGAATGAATATGCAATAAAAAAAATCATATTTGCTGAAGTGATAAAGAGAATTTAAATGACAAGAAAAATAATGTTTACTTTTTCATCGTTTTGACTGCCGCTTTATGATCAAGACAAATGATTAGATCGCATGAACAACAGATGGAAGCGTTTCAATATTGACTGGATACTTGACTGAATACTCATCAGATTTTTTAGGGCACTAAATATTGACAAAACTGTTTCATAGCTGCATCGGTCGATGGGCACCTAATCGTCTTCATTTAGATATTCAGATTAAAACTCCATTATGAATAATCACTCTCAAACTACTGTCTATGAATCTAAATTAAAATTAAAATTAAATTACGAATACGTGATAATCCGTCAAGATTAACACGGGTACTCCTTACATGTTTGATATGATTTAGTCGATTAAATAACATGTTGTTTTTACAAAATAAAAACTTCTCAAAAACCTGTTCATCTATTAAAACAATAATTTGATAAGACATTTAGAGAGTCTAGACAGTACTAGATAAATATGTATGTAATAACATGTGCTCTTGACGTAATTAAGAAAGAAAAGACAACAACAACAACAACAACAACAACAACAACAACAACAACAACAACAACAACAAAAACACCATCAATCATGTTTGTTCACGTCTACAATAATTTAAAAGTAGAATATATACGTACTTTAATGAGTTCTTCGAAATTAATGAATAATAAATGTGGAAACTTCGGATTTCATCCGAGAGTTATGTGTACTGCAAAAATTACATGAGACATATGAGTCATTCTAGAATGTCTGAACAACAAAATTATCATGAGAAACTAGGCACTTTGGTTTCTGGATGCAGTTTTTGTGCATTTTGAGACCGTTTTTCAGGCGATGTTTCGTTAGAAAGCTACGATTTAGTTCAAAACTAATATCAGATTCGGAATCAGCGTTAAAAACTGAGTCGATTTATATATGTTGTGAATAATTCTGGTGATAATTCCTATAAAAAATCCCTGGACCCCCCCCCCCCCCTCAGGGATGGTCTGATCAAAAATGACAATTTTTTCGATAACTCAGCCATTTCTTGACGGATCCCTCTCATCTTCGAACTCGACTGAGATATTAATGAGATCATTCTGGGTACAAAATTTCATGGCTATTGGATGAGTCTTTCAATGGTTATTGTGTTAACGGCCGGGCACACTGACCGAATCTAGAGTGTACTCACTTTTTTGCGTACACAAAAACAGCTCTACTGCCGATGATATTTTAATCAACGACTAACTATGCAAAAAAAGCATTTGTAGATTCATGATTTTCTTATAATTTCATCTTATCAATATATAATTAGTATTGAATGTTTCAAGCAATTATTTGTTTTAGTCATGTTTTAAGAGCATTTTAGATAAATAGCGTCATTTCGTAACAGTCTGCAGCTTACTTATAAATTTATAGAATAAATTAATAAAATATTCTAGTTCTGATAGGCCAAACAATTTTGATGTTCTACTTTTTTATATCATATTTAGAACCTTCTGCTTGACTTAAACAATGGAATAATCTTTCGGGTAAAAAACTATTAATAGATGAGTATAAACTTCTGAATGAAAATAATGAGATATTAAAATATATTTAATAAATAATTTTCTTGTCTGAATAGGCACAAATTATAAAAATTTATTTATTATTAAGAAAAATACAAAATATTTAAAAAACAAAAATGAAAAATTATTTTTAATTCAATATATATTAGAATCAATCTTAATTATGTATTTCAAAGAAAAATTAAAATTGTGCTCGAATATGAGTTAGCTTTTGATGTACTTGCATCAATTTCAATAAATATTGTCGATTGAGTTTTTCAGCCGTCGATTGCGGTGTCTCACCACCATAAGTCATATAAATTATTCCATCGTCAAATGTTTTTATTTGTTCAAGTAGACTCCATAGCGTCGGTCCGTCAACATTGTTTTCAATAGCTTGAAATATCTGCGATATCAAATGAGATCTATCTGCCATGACCTTGAATAATAGTATCACGTAGAATAATTGGCACAGAGATTCGTCTATAAAACTGTAATTCGACTTATTTTACACAGTTAATTTATTTTAAAGTGTTTTTTCATGTGTCTCTGTTATCGTATTGCCTTTTTCTATGACTAGAGAGTGGCTTGTGTTTTTTTCTGTTCTTCCCTTCGATACCTTGTACAAGTGAAAAGGCCAATTGCGCATTTACGCCTTCCCATACGCGTACTTTTTTTTTGTTGTAACATAGTGCATCATACACTTTATCATGCAACACAATAACTGATTTATGTTATGCGACAAGGCCGCAACTTTTGTCATTATCATTGAACTTGCCGTAGAGCTTGATTGAAATCAAGTTCAATGAAAGTTTCTTCGATCTGTATCTATTTACATGAATAAAAGCTATTAAGCCAAGGGTCGATTTAACTTTCATACGGGTGTATATGTGACAGGCGAGTTTGGAATAGTTTTTTTCTTAATTTTTTTAATAGAATTTTTGTTGAGATCTGACTTTAGAAACGTTTATATTGAGAATTATTCCTTGCATCTTGTTACACTGAGTTTTAAAATAATGCAACTCTGTCTTTTTTTTTACTATGGGGACATGGGGACATGGGGACATTGAATTTATCTGAGAAAAATAAATTTTGCATTCTTATCTCTCAATGATATATTCACTCTCTGTGTATTTTTTAAACTATGGGGACATGGGGACATTGAATTTATCGGAGAAATATTTCTGCTCTATTCTGTTTTTCTATAATATATTATCACGAGCAAAAAAAATATATATTTTTTCGATTAATTATTCTTTTCACGCATTCCAATCTCAACTGAAATTCTCATGTCAACTGGGATATATATATATATATATATATATATTACCCATACTTGTTTATATTCACAACTAAATGATAAACATTTAAGCTATACAATAAGCGAAAAATAATTAATGTTTCTTTTTGCTTTTGTTTTTGTCTATTTGTATGATTTATTATTCTTCGCTTGATAATTCTTCGGACGTGACAGTTTTTGACATGAGTTCATTATTTTCATTTTGCCGTAAAATAGTGCGTTGATGAAATGGCGGCATTTCTGTCAATTCCATATCAGAATGAATATTGTTGTGATTCTGTTGAGCTGATACTGAAATAATTTCATATTCATTGGATAGCCTATTGAAATAGGGTGTTGGTTCATTCAAGCTAATAATTGGTCCTTTTCTTCGTTGAATATTTCTCTTGTGAAAATATTGTTGTTTACGTGTACATATTTTCATAATTGCAGTATAGAATGCTTCTCTGAAACGTCGATTTGTTAGAACATAAAGGAAAAAATTTGTTGAAAAATATGTTTGTTGCAATGTATCAAGTAAAAGATGTATAAATTTTATAGCACACGCATTTGAATTGTGTTCGTATAATTTTGTTCCAAATGTTTGATGAAAATTAAATGGTAAATTACATATTAAATAAAGAATAGTTAATGTAATAAGCATAGCCGATAAATGTATATCACGTATACGTCGAATACGATGTTTTTTATGTAAAATTATTGAAGTTGTTGTTATTTGTTGAATATCTTGTGATAGACAGCTTGCTGATCTTGGTGATTGTCGCTGTTGACTCGCATTGTTTTCTTCTTCGTATTTTGTTAAACTTTGTTGAGTTCGACCCATTTTTAAACGTAATTCTGAATGCCGTCGAAATTGTATTTGAAAACAACAACACGAATATACATTTGATATGATTGTCGTTGAAGGAAAACAGCATGCAAGCTTTTCACATATTCGTTCGTAAAGTTTTTGTTTTTTAGCATTAGTAACTGAAGGTCTTCGTGGACCGAAACGTTCAGCTGTGCGCATTCTTAAACGTAAACTGCGTAGAATTAAAATTGTACAGATCATATTCATCAGAAGAGGAAGGCAAAAAAATATAATTAATTCGAAAATTGGATAGATTGATGAAAGAAAAAGAAAATATAATGGTGTTCGATTTGGATCAGAACTACAAACTGTTTGTTGTGTTTCATCATCTGAAACTAAAAGAAACAAACACAAAGTTCATTATATAAACAATGGGAAGACCTGCATGGCATTGACAATCTAAGAATAAGAATGAGAGTGATACTTGGATTTTCTTCTAATCCGATCTGAATTGGTTTTCTATTGATAATTACTCTAATTAAGTACGTATGGGAGCACTAACGTTTCCGGGGTATTGCGTATGATGAGCAATCAGGAAAAAATCCATTAAAATCTATTTGACAAATAGCGGTTATAAAGCACAAATAAAATTAATGGTTTGATTGTGCAAATGACAATAATGTACTTGAATAGAATCAAAATTCCTATCCGTTTTTTCAATAACACATCATTGTGACAATTGTATGGATTATTGTACAGACGAAGTTTTGTGATGCAAGAAAAATAAAATAAAATCTGCTTTCGGCCTTGATTTTGAAAACATTTTCTTTTAGAAAATCACGAACTTTCGCCATTAAATTAATCAGCGCATTATGATTTTATCTAGTTTCTAGAATTCCATTTTAATTAGTATCATATAAACTATAATTCCTTTTTGGGACAAATATTAAAATTTAGTGCCACAGAACTCTTTTTTTCACATGAACGCTTCATTTCAAACGCAAATCTCTACAAAGACCAAAGTGAGAGGACATGTTTTCTCTTTATGTGCTATATTCAATTAATAGAAAAAAAGCGAAATGTCTTGTTTTAAACAGGCGCTGAGTACATATATTCATCTTAAATTAAAACATACTAGTATGCTTATTGTCGTTTTCTCTGTTTTGTAATTTTCTGATCAAAAGTTACTGTCAGTTAGAATTCCAATGAGAAGTCTTATTCAGATGAATAAAGAAAAATGTCAGTTTCATAACTCATAACGATTTTAAAGTAAGTTGGATGTTAAACATCAGGATTCTTTCTTCTTTAACATCCGCATTAGATAAACGTTCATTATGATAATCTTTAATTTTCAATGTTCTCGTTATCCATTGCTATCTTTCAAATATTTAAACATACCTTCGTAACCAAATTTGACTAGCCAATGAAAATGATAAATACATAAAATGATACCAATAAGAAATTCTTTGACAACAACCATTTGAAATGCCGAGTTTGGATATTGTCTTCTTGGTGCGTTCCTTGTTACGGTTCGTGCACGATCAATATTAACACACACCAATGTAAATAAACTGAAATGTGTTAAAAAGTCTAACGCAAAATGAGAAAACCGACAAGTATATAAATTATTTTCGAAATGTATGTGTAAATAATATGTTGACATCCAATGTATAAAACGTACTAATGATAATAATCCATTTGATAAGGATAAAAATGCTAAATACGCAAATGTTGAATGGCAACGTAATGAACGTTGCATCAGGATAATAAATGCAACAAAATTTAATATTGAACCAAAAATGAACAATGAATAATTGTGAATAAATAACAATGGCCTAGTAATAGCACGTTGATTTGGACAGGGATTTTTTATTTCTGCAGGTGCAGTAAAAAAATCATTATCATAATAAATGCTTGTAAGATTAGCCGAAATCATTTTTCTTGTGGTTTGTTACTTTAATTAAATTGACATGGTCTTTGTTATTATATTAATTGTAGCGGTGTTTGGCGTTCGTACGTATTTTCCAAAGAGAGTATACTACAATAATATATAAGCCTATATAGAGAGAGAAAGAGAGAAAGAGAAAAAGAGAAGAAAAATAGAGAGAGAGAGAGAGAGAGTAGTATAAATAGTATATATCAGAAAAGAGAATTAAAAAAAATAGCGATGGTAGCTATGCGATATATTGTTCTTGAATGAACTCGATTTACTATGGCGAACAACTCTATATTAGACCGATATATAAAAATAGATATCAAGTGATGCTAAACAGGTAATAAAATGAGACATTTAATGACTCGAAAGAACAAGAAAAAAAGAATCCGATGAATGAAAAACAAGACTGGTCTACTAATTCAGATGTATAGAAAGAAGTAATGTTATTGTTTCATTGTCGAAGCAGAAAGACTAAGCTAATTCATCAACTCGTCGATTCTTCAATTACCAGCCTATTCATTTTTTTTTATAAGTGAAGAAAAAACGCCTTTCTATACATTTTTGCAGGATTGTCTGAGTTTTGCATGATTTGCTTCTACTTTTAACATTTTCCTCTCGGGTGTCTCTACAGGTCTATCTTATTCTCATGAAAGATTACCCGTACAGCTACGTGAAGAAAAGCATTAGTTTAGCAAACCTTATAGTATAGGAATCTAACGTTTCAAAATAATATATCCTAGAAATTTTCGTGATTCTTGGAAATCGAACATACGTCAACTTCAAGTTTTACTTTCATTTATTAGTACGCACATATTATTGAGCTTGAATTCGTAATAGATTACTATAAATAAAACAGCAATATGATCGTTAATACATTAAATGAGATTTTTCTCAGCTGAAAGAAACATGCAGAGAGAAAGAAATGGCTAAGTCAACAATATATAATAGGATGTCACTGAGTATTCAAGTTGTGCATTTCATTGGACGTACACTCATGATGTTTTCTACAGAAAACACTGAGCTTTTCGAACAATTTCAAATGTATTTACTCGAGTGATACTTCGATATGTATGTGATAGAAAATTTGTTACTTTTTTTCGAGCATAAATTTGCTTTTACAAAACTGATACTCGTATGATGTTTATTATGTATTTAAATAGTTTTCTATTCACTGTAAAATCACTAGCTTTTATTTACTTCCGCAACACATCAACATGAAAATATGATAATAGTGGAAATAAGATCGGTTTGTAATTTCTAAGCTAGTGGCTTATTACAAAAGATTTCATAGTAATAATAGCCACTCTTGAGCTATTTCTGAATAAAAAATAAAATAAAATGACAGACCATGATATTAAATAATGTATTGTAAGTCGTGATGTCTTCACAGGCAAAAGTCATTTCATTTTCGAGTGCTTAACTAGATTGACATGTGTGCTTTCCTGTTGTAGAAATTTATATTGAAACATTGGTGAAGTACAGAAAGCCACTTGATTGAATTGGTCGATCTTTTTCTGCAACGATTTAATTCATCAAAACATAAGATGAAGATGAAGATTTTTTCATAAAAACAAAACTTGAGACATTCTAATTGTATTTAAGCAAGACACAATCGTTCATTACATAACAATTTCGTAAATCAGAAGGGGAAAACGAAAACAAATCCGATAAACTAACATAGTTTGCAAAAAAAGAGAAATGTGTTCCTGTCAGAGAATTCATTTAGTTCATTCAGTACACGTAAGATTATTATTATTATTTGTCGATATTGATAAATTTATTGGAAGATATTTTTTTAATTCTTCTGTTGATTCTAAATTATTTGAAATCGGAGACGACAGATTAGACGATGAACCTGATTGTGGTGACTGCTGTTGACTTAAATCTTTGTAATCATTTGTTGGCGTTACTGCTGTCCACAAATTCATGAGACGATCTAATGATGCATTGTGAAGCTCATTTGACACATTTGCGTGACAGCCTAAGAAAATCTGTTGATTATTCATAATTGATAAATCATCGTCACGTAGAAGACGTTTTCTTTTATTCGGTTGTCGTCGCTTTAATTCAATTGGGTATTTTTTTCTTTCGTTACAAAATTTATAATATAATTTTCGAACTAATAATTCAATACTACCAATAACTGATACACAATGTGGATGGCGATCAACTAGACGACTTACTATTGAACGAAGTTCATCTGCATTTGGATAACTAGAATATTTTGTAATTAATAAAAAAAAGCATTTTCTCTATTTCAAAAAAAAAACAATGAGTTCTTTTAACTCTTACAGCTCATATTTAACAATTTCTTGATATAGTGCTTGTACAAGAGCATTTAATTGATTTGCGTCACCATTACCATTCAGAAAAGCAGCGATATGAGGTGGAAAACGTGGAATTGGAATACCATCATTTGGTTTCGGCAATAAGTCATATACAAGATTATGCTGAGATAGATTATCATTTTGATACATAGGTGACATGCTAATAGTTTTAATCATACATGCTTTTTTTATTCGAAAGAATTTGTTTCAAGAAACGTACTTATTAACTGACTGATCATAAATCGGTTCGCTTCTAGCAGTCATTTGTAATGATGAATCATTTTCATCAAGCAGATTTGTTGTCGATGGTTTTTCACCGACATCCGATATCAGTTGGAGTGGCATTGACGCCATTGAATGAGCTTTTGTTGTAGCTGTATGAGATGAAGCCAGGGTTGTTGAACTTTTCGAAATTAAAGAAGACAAATCGCCGGTCACATTGACATCTCTTTCGCTAAAAAAAGCAAAATGATGTCTGAATTATCTTCTAGGAGCTAATCTGTGACAATCTACGATTGTAATCAGAGAGATAATTCACTATATCGCCTTGATTTGTTTTTTGAAAACAAGAAAAAGATGCGACTTTTGATATTATCTATATTATTGACTTTAAAAGAAATTACTATTTGAGAAACATCCGTTTTTTTCTACAGTCCTCATATTTCTTCTATAGTTTATTTAGTCATTCGATGAAAGCCAAAAAGGAAATGAAAGGAATTTAATAAGCAAACAAATTAATGGACTTGACATTTTTTATAACAATAATAATAGCTTTTATGCTTGCTCTTCTTCTGCATAGCGTTGATTCATGGTTGGGCTTATGGTTTCTTTCACATAAAAATATACTTATTCATACACTCTCAACAAAAATAAATAATCATATTCTATTTGCGATTCTTTTTCAACCAGCATTTTACTACTCTTAGCTTTTAAAACTAAAAGCTAAATCATATCATTGAAGTAGAAAAATTTTTCTATGGTATAAACGCATTTATATAATTTCTATATTGATGAATATAATGATTTACGCTCATTGCAACAACACATTGTACTACATATTAATGCTACACTTTACATTGGTATTGATGAATCAATTATATATACTTCTTACTTTAATTGGTTATTGTCTTATAGTATTCTAGAATTATCTTACGATTTGAATTTGACTCGAAACAATGACTTCACACTTCGAAATCATGCTTCACAGACTACAAATAGAAAATGAAGATTGATGCAAGCGTAAGTCTAGAAAAGTCTTGTAAATTGTTAATATACAATATAATATTCCGTCTATTCTAAAGAAGCCTTGATTCGTTTTTCTGTTGATTGTTTTACAATTATCTAGTTTCATAAGCTAGGTACAAGAAAATCTGAGAACTTGGGTTTTGAATTAATCCAAAGCCAATGTATTCTAATATAATATTTGCAATTCTCTTTGAATATTTTTTCTTAATAGGAACCAAAGTTAATGAATAATAAAATATTTATATCAGAAGAGATCATGATCATAATTACTTGCATTCCCTTGTTGAATAAAAATGTATGAATATTGAATATCC